CAGTACACATTGTCTTGGAAGATTACTTAACTGTCATAGATTTCACTTCTCCTATCCACCTAGTAACTGCCACTGCCCTCTGCATTTGTTAATTACAGCAGAGCTTTACTACAAGGGTGCTTGTTTAGTGAATGACGGTTTTGTCAGTATTAGAACCCTTTTGCAATTGGTTCCTATGGTGGAGAAGTATAATGCCATATCTCAAATTGTAGGCTGGTGACATATACATTGTAGGGTGGGGAAGTTATGTACATGTAATGTGTTTTCCTAAATTTGAGTTGAAGTCTTTTGCTTTTGTATTTTAGGAACTCTTCTCAAATAATAATTGTTTAAAAATATTTGGCCAGTTTTTGAAATGTCGCACCATAGCACAGCAACAGGATGCTGTTCCATGTTACCATGACAACTATATATTATGTGATTTATCACAAACTTACTCAAAAATTATGATTATGCTTCTACCTTAATCATTAATTAAATTATGTGAATTATGCTTAAACTTTTTGCCAAAATACTGTTTCATTGCATTAACAGTGATAGTCTGTAAATTTTCAAGTAAAAGCACACATTTTTACTGGTAATAACTCTATATTACGTTTACCAGGCTGTTGATGACGACATTGATGTGAATGGTGATGTATATTACGCATTCACCAGCAATACTAGTAGTGAGTATGGTATTGGAATCAAGGATAACACTGGTGAGATTTACTTAGACGAGGTCCTGTATGCAAATGAGACTGACACCATCAAGCTGGAGGTAGTTGCATACAATGTAGTGCCATACGTTGGTTATAGCGCTACCAACGACACAACATTAGTAACGATAATTGTTGAGGTGAGTGTATAACACTATCTTAGACACACAATTAGTCATTTGATTCACATGACTATACCTATAGTGAGATAATTTGAAAATATCCTAACTTAGATGTAAACCAATTTGCTAAATACATGTACTGAAATTACAGCATGTCGATTCAGCAAGGCTTGTTAGATTTCATTTCTAGCTATTTTAGTGCATATAGAGATTACAAACAAAACTGTGTTGTATAAACCACAATAGACCATTTTCCGTTCACTTCGATATCCCACGCTATGCGTGAAATCGAGCGTAAAAACAGAACAAACAATGGTCATAGCATCGTAGGATTCAAGAAACGTGTAAGTATTTTAGGGGATATTTCCATGCTGTACACATTTGATGATAGTCAATTTTGATGAAGTAAGGGTATAAATGCCACAAAATACAGCTTCTGGGAGTTTCATGGTTATATCAGACCTTGCTATTTAAAAATGGCTGGAAATGGCTGGCTTTCCTAAAAGCATGGAAGCGAGTTATGCAAGTGATTTCAATGTGTTGTGAAATAATAAAATAAAAAACAAGCAAGTATTTTTTAAATCCCCTGGGCAAAATTTTGCATTCTTGAGCGATTGCTTGCCTTAGATGAAAAGGTTGTATTCAAATGTCACACTGATTTAATTTTATGGATGACATCC